AAGTTTTTTTCCCACAAACTGCCACTTGGTGGAACAAACTCTCTGAACACTTCAATCTTAACCTTGTCAACAGTCAATTATCATCTTTCTTCCTTATCCTTATAATGTTAATTTAAAAATTTAAATTACTGCCTCTTAGATTAAATGATAGAAGATATATATATATTGATTTTTTCTTTAGTGTGTGAGCTGTTATCAATCATATTCTTTTTTCATATGTCTTAAAAGTTGGATAATTTCAATACATAATTAATGATTACTGACAATGTAGTCTTGTAGTGACAATATATTGGCTATGATAATGATTTACACTATTAATGATTGTTTAAACTGTTGTCCTCATTTTATTGTCATATTCATGACATTTATGCCATTGTACACTGTGGCCTTCTTCAGGTGATATACATTAAAATTACAGTAAATTCTTCTAGTTTCATGCCTTTTCTGGATATCTCAGTTTCAGTTATTTCCCTTTAGTAACTCAACTCTGCAACTTTTTGTTCTGTTTCGGCCACAACTCCTTGAATCAAGTCACTGAATTACTTCAACCAACACTTTTATTGTGTCATTGTAGTTACAACACCTCATCCCAGAAATATAGACATGTATGATGAAAGAGATTTAGTATAAATAATCTAGACAAAAATAGTCAACCATGAAGTTATTTTAAATTGCTACTACTACTGCTGTAAGAACAATATGGCATAACAATTTGAAAAAGAAAGGAGGTAGTATGATTATATTTGGATCCTAACAAAACATGAGTTTTTATAGGAAACTTATGTAGGACACTGTCCATGTAAGATGGAAAATGATAAGAAATCACTTAAAGACTTTCTGGAGCACTGGGATTTTTTTATGGCTATGTATAATCACTATGTGGTAAGTATAAACTTTATTCTAATAGGGTATATTCAAACCTATACCAGTTCTTTCTTCTAAGGTCATAATGAGGTAACTGTCTTAACTTTTTGATGATCTGACTAATCAGTGGCTGCAACTTTTCATTATGAGGGTACTGGGTTGGGAGTTTGTTGGCTGCTACATCCAACTGGTAGTAAGGAACCCAAACTCTTTGTTAGTGCCATGTCACACATGGATAGGTGTCCCTGCATGTATTTATGGTGAGCAACCCTGAGGCCACATTATGCTTTAGACTCTGCCATGTTCTGGTTAGTTTGCATTGCCTATGACAACAGATAGTGATAATTATGTTGGCCTTTTCCTTCTTTTCTCCTCAAAACCAAATCTTCTTATGACAAATACAATGAAAAGAAATACAAGGAAACCAGTAAACAAAAAAATCAAAATATCTCCCCATTCAACTTTTCTTTCTCCAATATTAGAGGTATCCGTTCCAACTTCTGCAGTATAGAATCCTTTTTCATGAATCCATTGCCAGATATCTTCAACTTTTGTGAAACCAATTTAAACTCTTCCTGGAACAGAAAATTCATTGACAGCAATTGTCAATGAATTTTCTGTTCCAGGCTATCTTTCTCTTTGCCAAAAAGATTCTAGTATTCATAAGCAGGCCTCAGTGTTTACATTTAGGATAATCTTCTAATGGCCAGGAAATTGTAACTCATCCCCAAACAACTCTTTCATTTTCTTTCAACTTTTGTTATTACACTCTGTTAGCTATCCCTTTTTCCTTTATCACTCTCCCCTTTTTGTCAGGAGTGCAATATATTAGACACAATTTCTGACAGTATAGAAATGGCACTCTCTCTTCATCCATCTGCAAATATTTTTGTGTTTGGTGATTTTAATACGTAAGCATTCTAATGTCATTGATATTGCCGGTATTCAGACTTTCAATTTTTCCATTGCTCAATCTCTTATTGAAATCATAGATTTTCTTACTCATTTCCCCCTAATGAATCTGATCGATATGCTTCCTTACTTGATTTGTTCCTTACCTCCTCTTCCAGCTCTAGTCAAGCTTCACATCAGTGTCCTCATGGCAACACTGGTCACACTGTAGTATCTATTGATATATTGTTCCAGTCATTTATTAGACAGGAACCTCCTATTCACAATATCCCCTTCTGTTACCAGCATACTGATTGAGATTCACTTCATGAATTTCTTTGAGACACCCATTAGATTGATATTCTTAACCTTCCTATTGAGAATTGTGCCAGTGAGGTTTCTTCTTGGGTCAAAGCTAGCATAGATGCTTTTGTTCTCAGAAATACCATATGAAACACCAATCTTCTTCATGATTTACATTGGCCTGTTCAGCTGCTATAGCCCATACAAATCACTTTTTCTGACTATACCAGCTTTAATATTTTGATCACAACAGATGCCTATTCATGGTTATACATAATAAATGTAAATGTGTCCTTGAAGGAGCTAAGTCTTTACTGAAAAAATGAGGCACTGTATTGCATCTAACAACTTTCAAGCTCATGACTACTAATAGCTCTGTAATCATGTATTAAATAAGAGTAAGTTATCTATTCCTCCTCTCTTCAATCAATTTGAGTTATTAACATCTTCTGACGATAAAGCAGAATGTTTCATCTGTAAATTCTCTTTAAACTCTACTCTTGACTCATCTGGAGAATCCTTGTCTGACTTTCCACTTAGAACTGAGTCTCTATTGAATGATATGTATATAACCCCTTCCATGGTTCTGCTATCATCTCTCTCGGTCCCCACAAAGCATGTGGACCTGATGGTATCCCTGTAATAATCCTTAAGAAATGTGCTCCTGAACTGGCTCCTGTTCACTCTGCCTATTGCTTTCCTGCTTGATGGAAAACCTCATCTGTTGTTCCAGTCTTCAAGAACTCAGGTAAGCTCTGACCCTACCAATTATTGGCCTATTAGCTTTTTGATAAACTATTAGAGACCCTGATCAATCCTGAATTTGTTAAGCATCTCACATCACAGGCCTTTTTTCAGACAAGCAATATGGCTTTTGTTTCTCTAGGTCAACTGATGTATTAATGACTATTACAGAAAGAGTCTACCAAGCTTTAAACAAGAATGGTGAAGCTTGGATTGTTACTTTGGATATTGCAAAAGCATTGGACAAGGTTTGGCATACTGATCTTCTTTACAAATTGAAAGGTTATAGTGTCTCCAGATGAATTTTTTAATGGATCCAGGCTTTCTTATCAAATCGCAAAATGAAAGTTGTCCTTAATGACCACTCTTCTAGATCCTTTCATACTAATGCAGGTGCCCCCAGGACTCTATTCTTGGTTCTACTTTGTTCTTAATTTTCGTCAATGACTTTCCTGATGGCATCAGCACTCAACTTGGTATCTATGTTGAGGACACAACAATTTACTCCTGTCTTCATGCCTCAAACTTTGCTGCCACATATTGTTCAATGCTCCTGCTATATATTTAGAGATTCTTAATAAAATCCAAAGAATCAGCAATAGTATTGGTCTTGATCTGGCGTCTCGGCTTCAGTCACTTTCCCATCCCAGTAAAGTTGTTTCTCAGTGCCTTTTCTATATATATGAAACAGAGGATGTCTGTGTGTCTGTCTGTGTGTTACCTTTTCACTGGAGATCCATCCAACCAATTTTGACCAAACTTGGCATATACATTGTACAATGTACGAGATAGGTTCTTAGTGTAAAAATCGTTAATTTTTATAAGATCAATAATCGATAAAGCTGATCAAAAATCAATAAATTCAACTTTTTTCTCCAATTTCTTTAAACTTGGTATGTAGGTTACTTACATCTTGATGAGCTCAATGATACCTTTTTACGTTTTTATTTCTACTCTACTGTGTTTAGCGGAAAACAAAACATCAATTTCTACACAAATTTTAAAGTAAAAACTCCCTCAGTTTTCAAGAAATCTAATACAAACTTCATTCAATTTTAGCCAACAATAAATTGATTAACAGTCATTTACCTTGATAACTGAGTCCACCTATATAGTGAAAACCCATGTAAATAGCAAAAAATGGCTATTTTTACTGGTTTCTTTCTTATTTTTTGTTGATCTTTCAACCAATTTTCATCAAACTTAACAATTGCTTTATAAATGTATCCTCTTTTACATCCCTGGTAGCACACTGACAAACTGAATTTAAAGAACTCCAAAATAATTGTGGTCTGAAGTGGGTCTTCATGTTGCCTGTTTTACTCCTTCATGTCCTCAACTAACTTTGATGGAATAAATACAGACTACTTCTGTTATATCAGTAACTGCATTAATTCAAAATGTTTAATTAATGAAATTACTTTAAAGCAATTGAAGAAGATAGATTCTGTTACATTTAAACATGATGCTGTTTTTGCCCCATTCTAATTGAACACTTTTTCTGATCAACCAGCTGGGGATGACTGCAAGTCTATAAATACTTTCATCGTAATTGTTTGGATGAGCTCTTTGCTATGGTATCTAGACTTTATGAATATAAGCACAGTACTAGATTAGCAACATGGTCTCTTCAACTTACAGTTGAATTAGCTAGAAGTAATCATGAGTTCTATGCTAAGGGTTTCATTTCTCACACTTCTCGCTTGTGGAACTCTCATCTGGCCTTTTGCTTTCTGGACAAGTTTGATCTTCAAATATTTAAATGAAATGTCACTCATTATCTACTGTCTTCCTGATTACACTTCTGTAGTTCTCACTCCTCAATAATGCTTCTGTTTTTCTAATTCTATCACATTTAGTAAACCCTTGTATCTTAGTGGTTTTATTGCCTTGTTTTGGGTGATTTTGATTTATTAAAAAATAAAAAGATCTACATTCTATTTGGAATTTATATTTACTTTCATAGCTAAAGAGTATTTTACTTAGAAGGATGGAATAAAAATCAATTATCTGATGAAGGAAATTTATCAAAAATGAAAGACACATTTCCACACAAATATTGAAAATTTTGACTCATCAGGTTTTACCTGTATTTGAAATAAAAAGCATTCATACAAAATTTTATTTAAAATAATGTCTAAGAAATCATTTGTATAAATAAAAATTTAAACATTTTGATCTATGTTTTTCATATGCAGCCTCATTGTGTGTTAAGCAGAATGGCTTGGCTGATTCTTCATTGATAAGGAATTGGGATATTGATGTTTCCAGTAATGAAGAACGTAAAGCTGATATTCGACCAGGTGCAAAAGGATGGACACCCGAAGCTGGAGATAAGAAAACTACAGTGAACCTCTTTGTTGGTGATGCTCTCATTCATGGAGCCAACATGAGGCTTCAGAAATCTAAATGTGTTGGAAAATATGATGTCTATCTCAGTGGAGGTGGACAAGGAAATGTTCAAAGATTCAAGGTAAGATAATTTATTTGAATTTGTAGCTTTGTGGATGATGCCAAACAAGACTCAAGGTAAATTACATGAAAATGAATCCTTATATTCATTATGAATTTTAATAAACTTCATTTTTATAATTCTATCATCTTTTAGAATGCATGTGTATTAATAATAACATTTGTATTTCATTGAATCTTTAGAATAATGGAGCAAGTGATATTGTAATAATTCCATTTGGTACAATGGCAGATACAGTGAAAATTCATTTTATTTCTGAGAGGCCAAATTGTGAAATGCAGGTCACAGTTTCCATTATTGGATGTTTCCAATCAGCATGTAAGTATTTAGAATTTTGTTTTAGTGGGGAAGGGTGGTTAAGACAAAAAATTTAGGAAATATAAATTAAAACATTGCCTTTACACTCAAAAAACAGAATTTCATGAAAGATATTTGTTAGATTTTTTTTAAAATTTATTTTAATTTATAAATTTTCTACTTCAATTTGATAGTAACAAATATTTTTCAATAATAATTAATTAAAAAATTCAATTATATCGTATATTATTCTTTTCTCATGGAAAACTTGAGTTTATTTTTTTCATTTCTTAGCTACAAGTCCAACACCAACACGTATGTATACAAATATTTTTATATATATATATATATACTTGTCATTTAAAAGTTGAAGAATATCTCAGATACATTTGCTTATGTCAGAAATGATATTTGCATTGTATGAAATAGGCATAGCAAAAACATGTACAAATTATTTTCAAACTGAATTTTTATCATAAATTGAGTTTTAATGAAACATTGCAAATGACTGATTTTGTATATTTTTAAATAAAGTTTTAATGCTTGCTAGCTACTTAGATATTTTTTTTTCTACAAACAAATTTTATTATGCATGATAACATGATTTTAAGAAGCTATTTATTAAAGAAATTTGTATATATATATTTTTTTACATTTCAGCAACACCAACACCTAAACCTTCAACAGAAACAGGTACACCTAAAATTATTTGCAAGACCCTAAGATTTTTTTATTTAAATAAATCAAATAAATATAATTTGTACTTTGTATAAAGAAAATTGTAATTTGTATAAAGAAAATGTAATTTTCAAAAATACATTTTTTTTTGTTGCAGCTTCTTTGTGCATTAAGCAGGATGGTTTGGCTGATTCTTCATTGATAAGGAATTGGGATATTGATGTTTCCAGTAATGAAGAACATAAGGCTGATATTCGACCAGGTGCAAGAGGATGGACACCTGAAGGTGGAGATAAGAAAACTACAGTTAGCGTCTTTGTTGGTGATTCTCTCATTTATGGGGCCAACATGAGGCTTCAGAAATCTAAATGTGTTGGAAAATATGATGTCTTTCTCAGTGGAGGTGGACAAGGAAATGTACAGAGACTCAAGGTAAATTACATGAAAATAAATTCATTATGAATTTTATATTCATGAATCTTATATTCTTCATGAATTATAATAAAGTAATTTTTATAATTATATCATCTTTTTGAATGCATGTGTATTAATAATAACATTTGTATTTCATTGTATCTTTAGAATAATGCAGCAAGTGATATTGTAATAATTCCATTTGGTACAACGGCAGATACAGTGAAAATCCACTTTACTGCTGAGAAGTCAAATTGTAAAATGCAGGTCACGGTTTCCATTATTGGATGTTTCCAATCAGCATGTAAGTATTTAAAATCTTGATTAGTGTTTTCACGAATTAGTTTTGAAGTTTCACTTAAAATCAATATTTCATATTTAGATAATAATTCTATGAAAGGAATACATCATTAATGTAAAGTGTTTCCTTGAGTTTTTTTTTATATCAGGTCATCCCATAAGTTCTGTCCGGATTTTAACTTGTTGTTAAAATGAACAAAATTTAAAGAGTATTTTATAATGTCTAATGGAGCTGAACATTATTTTTATGTTTAGATGCATTTAAACTGATAAAATTTTATTTCAGGGAACAATAAAATTAAATTTTGTTTGATTAAAACCCTGCTTACATGGAAGTACCCAAGAATCATTTCAGGCACATAATGCTTTATGAGTTCAAGAAAGGAAACTCAGCAGCCAAAGCAGCTCGAAACATTCACTCAGTTTATGGAGAGGAATGTGTGAATGAAAGAACTTGCAGAAGATGGTTTGCAAAATTCTGAGATGGAGATTTCACTCTTGAAGATGAAGATTGAACGGGACGTCCAGTTGAGTTTGATGAAAAGCTTCTTGAAGTAGACCTTGAAGAAAATCCTACTTTATCAGTTGAGGAATTGGCAGTGGTTCTCAGTTCAATCCATACAACTGTTCATCATCTTCAACAACTTAGTAAAGTTCCTAAACTTGGAAAATGGGTGCCTCATGAATTGTCTGAAAACAACCTCAAATCTTGAGTTGACATCTGCTCTTCTCTCCATTCTCGCCAACTTGTTTCACCTTTTTTTGGATAGACTTGTGACTGGCAATGAAAAATGGATCTTTTATTGAAAGGTTAAGCATTGTAGACAGTAGCTTGGAAAAGGGGAAGGACCCCAGCCACAGCCGAGAAGGGAACTTCATGGGCAAAAGGTTCTTCTTTCAATCTGGTGGGATCGCCAAGGAATAATCCACTTTGAATTCTTACCACCTAATATAACAATTAATGCTCAAATATACTGTCAGCAATTAGAGCATTTGAACCAAGCTTTGAGAAAAAAAAGACCTGCTCCAGTGAATTGAAAAGGGGTGATGTTTCATCAGGACAATGCGCAACCCCACACAGCAGGTATCACATCACAAAAGATTGAAGAACTTGGTTGGGAGAAAATTCCTCATCTACCTTATTCTCCTGATCTTGCTCCTTCAGACTACCATTTGTTTCATAGCTTACAGAATCATTTGGAAGAAACAGCTTTTGTAACACAGGAAGAGGTTAAATCTGACATTTGAGAGTTCTTCGAATCAAAGCCGAAAGAATTTTACAGTAATGGAATTAGTAAACTTGTGATGGAAGGAAGTCATAGATAATCAGGGAAAATACATTGTTGATTGAATCTGTAATTAAATGTAACATTTGGTGACTTGTTTTCTTTATTCAAAATTCGGACAGAACTTATGGGATGACCTGATATAAATTGTCTGCTATAGAAAAAAAATATTAACAATCAGATTTGAAATAAGATATAAAGTGATGTGTTTAGTATATCATATTTTGTTATTTTTTTTTTCATAATTTCTTAAAAATGTTCTTTTTCAGCTACCACTCCAAAAGCAACAAGTATGTATACAATTCCCTTTTAGAAATAATTGCCAGTCAAAAGTTAAAGCATAAAATTGATTTATATTTTAAATATCATATATTGTTTCAATTTCAAATGATATTTGCCTTGTATGAAGCTGGCAAAGTGTCACAGATTTTGAAATATAATCTTCATCATTTACGATCTATTAGAACAATGTAATTAACAATTATTTAACATTTATTTAAATAATGCAAATAGTTGTTTCCTACAACAATTTATTTTCTATATTCATGGTTATTTAATCTAAGTTAAATATTTTGCACATTTCAGCAACACCAACTCCAACCCCAAAAATTTCAACAGAAACAGGTGAGCATTTTATCATCTAAAAATGGCTATTTTAATTTTAAAGGATCAAAAACAATTATTTACTCATATCATAAAAAGAAAAATATATTATTGTATCTAAATAACTAATAATTTTTTTCTTTTTTAGCTTCCTTGTGTGTGAAACAAGATGGCTTGGCTGATTCTTCATTGATAAGGAATTGGGACATTGATGTTTCCAGTAATGAAGAACGTAAGGCTGATATTCGACCAGGTGCAAAAGGATGGACACCTGAAGCTGGAGATAAGAAAACTACAGTTAGCCTTTTTGTTGGTGATGCTCTCATTTATGGGGCCAACATGAGGCTTCAGAAATCTAAATGTGTTGGAAAATATGATGTCTATCTCAGTGGAGGTGGACAAGGAAATGTACAGAGACTCAAGGTAAATTACATGAAAATGAATCCTAATATTCATTATGAATTTTAATAAACTTCATTTTTATAATTATATCATCTTTTTGAATGTATGTATTAATAATGACATTTGTATTTCATTGTATCTTTAGAATAATGCAGCAAGTGATATTGTAATAATTCCATTTGGTACAACGGCAGATACAGTGAAAATCCACTTTACAGCTGAGAAGTCAAATTGTAAAATGCAGGTCACGGTTTCCATTATTGGATGTTTCCAATCAGCATGTAAGTATTTAGAATTTTGTTTTAGGCGGGAGGGTGGTTAAGATAAAAAATTAGGGAAATATAAATTAAAACATTGCTTTTAGGCTCAAAAAACAGAATTTCATGACAGATATTTGTTAGATTTTTAAAAACATTTATTTTAATTTATAAATTTTCTGCTTCTATTTGATAGTAACAAATATTTTCCAAAAAAAATTAATTAAAAAATTCAATTATATCATATATTATTCTTTTCTCATGGAAAACTTGAGTTTATTTTTTTCATTTCTTAGCTACAAGTCCAACACCAACACGTATGTATACAAATATTTTTATATATATATATATATACTTGTCATTTAAAAGTTGAAGAATATCTCAGATACATTTGCTTATGTCAGAAATGATATTTGCATTGTATGAAATAGGCATAGCAAAAACATGTACAAATTATTTTCAAACTGAATTTTTATCATAAATTGAGTTTTAATGAAACATTGCAAATGACTGATTTTGTATATTTTTAAATAAAGTTTTAATGCTTGCTAGCTACTTAGATATTTTTTTCTCTACAAACAAATTTTATTATGCATGGTAACATGATTTTAAGAAGCTATTTATTAAAGAAATTTGTATATATATATTTTTTTTACATTTCAGCAACACCAACACCAAAACCTTCAACAGAAACAGGTACACCTAAAATTATTTGCAAGACCCTAAGATTTTTTATTTAAATAAATCAAATAAATATAATTTGTACTTTGTATAAAGAAAATGTAATTTTCAAAAATACATTTTTTTTGTTGCAGCTTCTTTGTGCATTAAGCAGGATGGTTTGGCTGATTCTTCATTGATAAGGAATTGGGACATTGATGTTTCCAGTAATGAAGAACGAAGGCTGATATTCGACCAGGTGCAAAAGGATGGACACCTGAAGCTGGAGATAAGAAAACTACAGTTAGCCTTTTTGTTGGTGATGCTCTCATTTATGGGGCCAACATGAGGCTTCAGAAATCTAAATGTGTTGGAAAATATGATGTCTATCTCAGTGGAGGTGGACAAGGAAATGTACAGAGACTCAAGGTAAATTACATGAAAATGAATCCTAATATTCATTATGAATTTTAATAAACTTCATTTTTATAATTATATCATCTTTTTGAATGTATGTGTATTAATAATGACATTTGTATTTCATTGTATCTTTAGAATAATGCAGCAAGTGATATTGTAATAATTCCATTTGGTACAACGGCAGATACAGTGAAAATCCACTTTACAGCTGAGAAGTCAAATTGTAAAATGCAGGTCACGGTTTCCATTATTGGATGTTTCCAATCAGCATGTAAGTATTTAGAATTTTGTTTTAGGGGGGAGGGTGGTTAAGATAAAAAATTAGGGAAATATAAATTAAAACATTGCTTTTAGGCTCAAAAAACAGAATTTCATGACAGATATTTGTTAGATTTTTAAAAAAAATTATTTTAATTTATAAATTTTCTGCTTCTATTTGATAGTAACAAATATTTTCCAAAAAAAATTAATTAAAAAATTCAATTATATCGTATATTATTCTTTTCTCATGGAAAACTTGAGTTTATTTTTTTCATTTCTTAGCTACAAGTCCAACACCAACACGTATGTATACAAATATTTTTTTATATATATATATTTATATATACTTGTCATTTAAAAGTTGAAGAATATCTCAGATATATTTGCTTATGTCAGAAATGATATTTGCATTGTATGAAATAGGCAAAGCAAAAACATGTACAAATTATTTTCAAACTGAATTTTTATCACAAATTGAGTTTTAATGAAACATTGCAAATGACTGATTTTGTATATTTTTAAATAAAGTTTTAATGCTTGCTAGCTACTTAGATATTTTTTTCTCTACAAACAAATTTTATTATGCATGATAACATGATTTTAAGAAGCTATTTATTAAAGAAATTTGTATATATATATTTTTTTACATTTCAGCAACACCAACACCTAAACCTTCAACAGAAACAGGTACACCTAAAATTATTTGCAAGACCCTAAGATTTTTTATTTAAATAAATCAAATAAATATAATTTGTACTTTGTATAAAGAAAATGTAATTTTCAAAAATACATTTTTTTTGTTGCAGCTTCTTTGTGCATTAAGCAGGATGGTTTGGCTGATTCTTCATTGATAAGGAATTGGGACATTGATGTTTCCAGTAATGAAGAACGTAAGGCTGATATTCGACCAGGTGCAAAAGGATGGACACCTGAAGCTGGAGATAAGAAAACTACAGTTAGCCTTTTTGTTGGTGATGCTCTCATTTATGGGGCCAACATGAGGCTTCAGAAATCTAAATGTGTTGGAAAATATGATGTCTATCTCAGTGGAGGTGGACAAGGAAATGTACAGAGACTCAAGGTAAATTACATGAAAATGAATCCTAATATTCATTATGAATTTTAATAAACTTCATTTTTATAATTATATCATCTTTTTGAATGCATGTGTATTAATAATGACATTTGTATTTCATTGTATCTTTAGAATAATGCAGCAAGTGATATTGTAATAATTCCATTTGGTACAACGGCAGATACAGTGAAAATCCACTTTACAGCTGAGAAGTCAAATTGTAAAATGCAGGTCACGGTTTCCATTATTGGATGTTTCCAATCAGCATGTAAGTATTTAGAATTTTGTTTTAGGCGGGAGGGTGGTTAAGATAAAAAATTAGGGAAATATAAATTAAAACATTGCTTTTAGGCTCAAAAAACAGAATTTCATGACAGATATTTGTTAGATTTTTAAAAACATTTATTTTAATTTATAAATTTTCTGCTTCTATTTGATAGTAACAAATATTTTCCAAAAAAAATTAATTAAAAAATTCAATTATATCATATATTATTCTTTTCTCATGGAAAACTTGAGTTTATTTTTTTCATTTCTTAGCTACAAGTCCAACACCAACACGTATGTATACAAATATTTTTATATATATATATATATACTTGTCATTTAAAAGTTGAAGAATATCTCAGATACATTTGCTTATGTCAGAAATGATATTTGCATTGTATGAAATAGGCATAGCAAAAACATGTACAAATTATTTTCAAACTGAATTTTTATCATAAATTGAGTTTTAATGAAACATTGCAAATGACTGATTTTGTATATTTTTTAAATAAAGTTTTAATGCTTGCTAGCTACTTAGATATTTTTTTCTACAAACAAATTTTATTATGCATGGTAACATGATTTTAAGAAGCTATTTATTAAAGAAATTTGTATATATATATTTTTTTACATTTCAGCAACACCAACACCAAAACCTTCAACAGAAACAGGTACACCTAAAATTATTTGCAAGACCCTAAGATTTTTTATTTAAATAAATCAAATAAATATAATTTGTACTTTGTATAAAAGAAAATGTAATTTTCAAAAATATTTTTTTTTGTTGCTTCTTTTGTGCATTAAGCAGGATGGTTTGGCTGATTCTTCATTGATAAGGAATTGGGACATTGATGTTTCCAGTAATTTTGATATTCGACCAGGTGCAAAAAAGGATGGACACCTGAAGCTGGAGATAAGAAAACTACAGTTAGATTTTTTTTGTTGGTGATGCTCTCATTTATGGGGCCAACATGAGGCTTCAGAAATCTAAATGTGTTGGAAAATATGATGTCTATCTCAGTGGAGGTGGACAAGGAAATGTACAGAGACTCAAGGTAAATTACATGAAAATGAATCCTAATATTCATTATGAATTTTAATAAACTTCATTTTTATAATTATATCATCTTTTTGAATGTATGTGTATTAATAATGACATTTGTATTTCATTGTATCTTTAGAATAATGCAGCAAGTGATATTGTAATAATTCCATTTGGTACAACGGCAGATACAGTGAAAAATCCACTTTACAGCTGAGAAGTCAAATTGTAAAATGCAGGTCACGGTTTCCATTATTGGATGTTTCCAATCAGCATGTAAGTATTTAGAATTTTGTTTTAGGGGGAGGTGGTTAAGATAAAAATTAGGGAAATATAAATTAAAACATTGCTTTTAGGCTCAAAAAACAGAATTTCATGACAGATATTTGTTAGATTTTAAAAAAATTATTTTAATTTATAAATTTTCTGCTTCTATTTGATAGTAACAAATATTTTCCAAAAAAAATTAATTAAAAATTCAATTATATCGTATATTATTCTTTTCTCATGGAAAACTTGAGTTTATTTAATTTTTCTTAGCTAAGTCCAACACCAACACGTATGTATACAAATATTTTTTATATATATATATTTATATATACTTGTCATTTAAAAGTTGAAGAATATCTCAGATATATTTGCTTATGTCAGAAATGATATTTGCATTGTATGAAATAGGCAAAGCAAAAACATGTACAAATTATTTTCAAACTGAATTTTTATCACAAATTGAGTTTTAATGAAACATTGCAAATGACTGATTTTGTATATTTTTAAATAAAGTTTTAATGCTTGCTAGCTACTTAGATATTTTTTCTCTACAAACAAATTTTATTATGCATGATAACATGATTTTAAGAAGCTATTTATTAAAGAAATTTGTATATATATATTTTTTACATTTCAGCAACACCAACACCTAAACCTTCAACAGAAACAGGTACACCTAAAATTATTTGCAAGACCCTAAGATTTTTTATTTAAATAAATCAAATAAATATAATTTGTACTTTGTATAAAAAAATGTAATTTTCAAAATACATTTTTTTTGTTGCTTCTTTTGTGCATTAAGCAGGATGGTTTGGCTGATTCTTCATTGATAAGGAATTGGGACATTGATGTTTCCAGTAATGAAGAACGTAAATTGATATTCGACCAGGTGCAAAAGGATGGACACCTGAAGCTGGAGATAAGAAAACTACAGTTAGCCTTTTTTGTTGGTGATGCTCTCATTTATGGGGCCAACATGAGGCTTGGGAAATCTAAATGTGTTGGAAAATATGATGTCTATCTCAGTGGAGGTGGACAAGGAAATGTACAGAGACTCAAGGTAAATTACATGAAAATGAATCCTAATATTCATTATGAATTTTAATAAACTTCATTTTTATAATTATATCATCTTTTTGAATGCATGTGTATTAATAATGACATTTGTATTTCATTGTATCTTTAGAATAATGGAGCAAGTGATATTGTAATAATTCCATTTGGTACAATGGCAGATACAGTGAAAATCCACTTTACTACTGAGAAGTCAAATTGTAAAATGCAGGTCACGGTTTCCATTATTGGATGTTTCCAACCAGCATGTAAGTATTTAAAATCCTGATTAATGTTTTCACAAATTATTTATGAAGTTTCACTTAAAATCAATATTTCATATTTAGATAATAATTCTATGAAAGGAATATGTGATTAATATAAAGTGTTTCCTTGAGTTTTTTTTATATAAATTGTCTGCTATAGAAAAAAAATATTAACAATCAGATTTAAAATAAGATATAAAGTGTTTTATATCATATTTTTGTTATTTTTTTCCTTTCATAGCATTTTAACAAACTAGCAATTTGTGAAAGCTAATATAAAATCTTTATTTTATGCACTGAAAATTATAATTATATGAGGGATATTTATTTTTTTTTACATTTTATATTTAGATTTTTATATATGGAATTAATTTGATTGAAGTTTATTTGGTGATAATGAAATGATTTGTAATTGGTGCAGATAATGTAATTGAAATATTATAATACTTTTTTGATGAAACCCTTTACTTTTAGTTTATCTCTCTCAAATATTTTTTTTTATTTGTTCAGCTTCAACAGCAACTCGTAAGTACAATTTCCATTTTAGAATTGCTATTTAAAATTTGAAACATTAAATTATGCTTAATATATCAAAAATGATTTTTATATAACAAATGACTATTGAATTGCATGAAAGATGCAGATGCAAGACAAGTCATAATTAATTACCGGCTTTCACACTGGTTCTTTATTAAAGTTTGAGAATTAATGAAAGATTCCAAAATGGTCTTTTTTATATGCTTCTTAATAGGCTAAGTAATTAATTATTAATATTTTCTCTAGTTATATAACATGATTTTGCAAGTTTTAAATGTTTAATATGACTTTTGTCTGATAATAGTTGTTACATATATGTAGAATTTGACCATTAGTTGTGCAACTACAGAATGGGACAAGTAAGTAATACATAAAAATAGTTCTTGCATAATTTAATAAATATTTTTTATATTTCAGCAACACCAAATGTTTCAACAGAAACAGGTATGCATATACACAAAATATCGAATATTTTTTTTCCTTAAAACAATGATAGATATAAATATATTTTTATAATTTAATGTCAGAATTTATTTGTGATGACAATAATATAATAATCACTTTCTTCTGTTGTTTAGCATCCTTGTGTGTGAAACAGGATGGTCTGGCTGATTCTTCCCTCATAAGGAACTGGCATATTGAAGTTTCCAGTAATGAAGAATATAAGACTTATATCCGACCAGGTGCTAAAGGATGGACACCTGATGCTGGAGATAAGAAAACTACTGTCAGCTTTTTTGTTGGTGATGCTCTTATTTATGGAGCTAACATAAGGCTACAAATAGCCAAGTGTGTTGGGAAATATGATGTCTTTCTCAGTGGAAGTCAAGAAGGAAATGTGGAAAGCTTTAAGGTAATCGATGAAAAATCCTTGAAAGTATATATTTTGTTAAAAATAGCATGGGAATTTCTTAGTTATATTTCATACTATTAAAAATTGTATGAAATATACCTAAATACCTAAAAACATCTCAATGATTAAATAAGGTTATATTTCAAAACTTATTACAGTGAAAAATGTTTTAATATGTAAATTTATTATTGTCAATGCAATCTTGATTTTCCATAATAGAAGATTGTGACATGTCGCCAAGTGCTTAGAATGTTTGATTCCTCACCATGGTTGATTTGTCAAGAAAGTGATTTCTTGATGTTATCAGCCTTGGGAGATGATCCCAGCACTTTGGAGAGTGTCTGAAAACCACACCATGAGTTGATTCAAACCTTGAGAGTGAAATTGGGTAGATGGAACTGTTCAACATCTGTCAATTCTTGTGCTAGCATGAAATCACAAGACATTATTATTAAATGTCTGAGCATACTGACCTTGTTCCAACTGCTGATCATGCTAAATGATGCACTCTCTCCCAGAAAGGTCTGCTCAATATAACTGCAGTATAAACCACATGTGGGCTCTCTGGGTGTTGAACAAATACAAATGTTTCTGTCTGCAACAGATTGGTGTGGTCAGAAATGAGTAATCAACCATTATAATGGATAAAAATCTCATTTGTACAAGGAGAGTGCATAAAAGTTCTCAACCTGACACCAAATCATGAAATGCACATACAATTTCACACATTCAACCAACATTTCAACATACTTGATACATAGTGTCTTAAGTTTCTTTAAGCTTCCAAGAAAAAATATATTCTTGTTTGTTCATTGAAATACCACTCTGTTACTACTATCACATCCAAACCATAAAAAATTTCTTCATTTTCAATCTCCTTTTTTTCTATTATTAATGTTCAAGCCACCCAAAGTAGAATGTTACTGAATGAGCTGTATGGTATGGATGTAATAAGAGGAAATAGTGAAGATTATGAGGATAAGTTGGGAAACAGGAAATTGATGAAACTAGATCTGGTGGTTGCTATTGATAATATATGCACTCAAACTCTTCAAAACATGCATCATCTTGACAACTCTTTGAGAAGGTGTATTATTCTGTACATTTCTGCAGCTTCTGTCACACTTTTACTTTTAACACCTTTGACAAAGCAAGTCATATTTGTCATTAGCCTTTTGTTCATTCTGAAGATAATCATTCATCAAAGTACATTGCTGATGCCAACAATTCATGGCTATGATTTTACTACTGACTTTTGGGCCTTGAATTTCTTCAGTCATAGAGAATCTTAGTACTGCCACTGCATGTACTGCTGTTTGGTTTCCAGATCATAGTGAAAAAGTCATATTTCATCAGCAGTTGACAAAATGCTGCAAAATCAACTTGGAGATGTCCACATGATATTCAAACATTTTGGCATTCATTTAAATGATATATTCTACATACCTAACTGATTATGAATTGTAAACCCAATATGTTCTTTGGATTTCTTTGTGTCCCAGCAATTCTTTTGGCTAAGATTTGTTGATAAACCTGTTAGTAATTTATGAAACAAGTTAGATAGCAAACATAGACAGACCTTGTTTTGTGTGAATGCAGGTATTCAACTTCATATTCAAAACAGGAGGATAAACTCAAGAAAGAAACAGATACATGTTATATAATTAATAGATGCTGTGACTTATTTTATTTATTATGGACAATGCAACAGTGTGCTCTCATAACAGCAATAAAATACTAGGGGTAGATAACTCCGACCACTTTATCTAACTGTAAATGTTCATTTGACAAGAGTAGAAATTTCAACAAAACCAAAATTAAGTAATGGGAATAATCAATAATTTCAAGAGTTGACACAATTGCATGTCTTCTAAGACATACTGTGTCTTGGGTCTCAAAATCTCCATGGCACTTCTTCACGGTTAAGAATAATAGAACTCACCTAACATTTGCATCATATTCTCATATTCTTTGCAATTTTCTTCTACAGGGACAGGAAGATCATGGCAGTTCAAAGTTCAGCACTTTAAAATTCCAGTTTTAAGTGACATTGTTCAGTCAAATTCAAAATAAATACAAAAAGCTAATTTACACTTTTCAGATACAGTGACAAAATAACTCAGATTTTGGGAAGTGAGTCATGCTGATAACTTTTGAAAAACCACTTCAGAAGTTTCAGCTGAATTTGTAGTAAAGTCAATTAAATTAATATAAACTTCTGTGGTGTATTTCATTTCAGAACAATGGACCAACTGATATTGTAATAATTCCATTTGGTACAACAGCAGACACAGTCAAGATCCACTTTACATCCAAGAGTCCAAATTGTAAAATGCATGTTACTATATCCATTATTGGATGTTTTGAATCTGCATGTAAGTACTTTCATTTCAACTTTCACATGATTCAATCTTGACTATTGATATAGATGTTTTGACTCTCAGATAATGTATATTTTCATAAATAATATAACACATTGTGTTCAAAAGTTATCTATTCTTCATAAAATCTGATTAAACAAGCATTCATTAATTTCATCTATCATTTGCTATATTTTTTCTGAATAAAGTTCATTGATAATTTCATCAATGAGCTGATATCAAAAGAACACATATATTTTTTAAAAATACATGTTTGTAATTTACATGCATTTTTTACTTTGAATAATTGTCCCTTTTATATATCTTAATTTTCATAGCAACAACACCAACTCCAACACGTAAGTATCTGATTAGATTTATTTTTTGAGAAACAAAAGACTAAATTTTAAGAAATATACAAAACACTATAATCTTTCTATTATGTTGAGTTTTAAAAAAAAGTTTGATAATTTCTTCTGTCAATAATGTATTTCTAAAAATTTATAATAATTATCCAAAACATTTTAAATAAAAGTAATTTAATTATGATTCTATATTGTAGGATGGCAGCCTTTTACAATGAATAAATATTACATAGCATATGTAAATAACATTATATAAAAAATTAATTCAGTAGACTTTTACGTAATTATTATTACACAATACATAGGTTAATTAAACTACATAAATGAATACAAATTCAAACAAAGGAATAAAGTAAAAATTTATATTTAATATTAATTCAATAAAAAAGTGAGCATTACTTTTCTTTATCTATTTCAGCTACCCCAACACCAAAACCTTCAACAGAAACAGGTAGATCATGTATATTTCTTGATTTAAAATTTTCTTACATAATTTTTCAATTCAACATGCTTTTAAATTATAAAAGGGGCAACTTAATTTAATATAAATGTCTTTTGTTTCAGCCTCTTTATGTGTAAAACAAGATGGATTAGCTGATTCTTCTCTGATAAGAAACTGGGACATTGATGTGTCCAGTAATGAAGAACACAAGGCTGATATTCGACCAAGTAGAAAAGGGTGGGCACCTGAAGCTGGAGATAAGAAAACCTCTGTCAGCTTCTTTGTGGCTGATGCTCTCATTTATGGGGCTAATATGAGATTACTAACAAGCAAGTGTATAGGAAAATATGATGTCCTCCTCAGTGGAAGTCACGAAGGAAATGTACAAAGGTTTAAGGTAAGTTATGACAGTTTTATATTTATATTTTTCATTTATTAAATATAATTTAATTAGTTAATGTTACAAGAGTTATTTAGGCACATTTAAAAGATCAATTATATTGATTTTAAAATTATTGAAAACTCTATTCAGAAACGTGTTTTTTTCAAAAATATTTAATTTACATTGATATCAGACTTTGATCAGTATAAAAAAGATATATTAGCAGATACATTTGTGATCTATTTTCATTTCAGAACAATGGACCAAATGATATTGTAATAATCCCATTTGGTACAACAGCAGATACAGTCAAGATCCACTTTACATCAGAGAGTCCAAATTGTAAAATGCATGTTACTGTATCTATTATTGGATGTTTTGAATCAGCATGTAAGGGCTTTTATTATTATATCTAATAATTTATAATAATCAAAATTAACTTCTTAGTTGAAAAATGTGCAATATTTGGTATACAACTTTGGGTAAATTTTTGACCCCTAAAATAACAATATTCTGCAAAATATATTGCAATTGGCATTTATTATCTACAACCTCTGTCCTATGTTGCTACATTTGCATATTTTTCTTTTAATTAATCACTACAATTATTAAAGGTTATGTTTATATATTCAAATAATTTCATGTTATGCTTAAAACTAACAATCTTAAAACAAAACTATTAAAAAATAAGTAACAATTTTCAACATTTTATTTACTATATTTATATATTTTAGCAGATAATATCAACCATGGATGGGCAATTAAGAATGCATCAGGCAAAAGCCGAAATGATATTCAAAATTATGTATTACACTCTTTGTTTACAACATTCTAAGAACAATGTGGAAATCAGCAACCAAACAGCATTAAATATAACTGTGAAAGTGCTAAGAAATGCTTCAATGTAAAATATCTTATTTAAATTTTTCTTGAAAGTAATGGTTCCAGGCAGTGAAATAATTAATTATTTCACTGAGTTTATCTTTTATTTTATTTTTATTGACACATGTAACAACTATTTTAAGACAAATTTCATATACTTAATGTAACAACCATTATTGGACAGAAATATTATCATTGACTATAGAATTTGGTTTATAATTTATTTACATCAGATGAAGTCAGATGTTTATAGTTTTCCCAATTAACTACAGTATGTGTATGCTTTGTGTTTACTTATACACTTTATGTACTTTGATTTTATAGCCACAACACCAACTCCATCACGTAAGTAGAATATTACATTTATTAAATTTTGTTTACTCTTTAAATACAATTTGCAAAAGAACATTTTCTGTTGTGGATTCCGAGATGAAATCCAGTCTCAAATGAATGACAAATGCAGGAATGAAATATAGCAAATAAATGTATTGATGCAATAATACAATTGGTAATACGTTTAGTAGATCCAGAAATGCGATTAGTAGCAATAATAATATATATACAGTCTGGGAAATTCAGTATCGAAGTAGGACTTTGTTATATTCCGTATTTAGATGCGGGGGCGATGTGAAAACAATGTGGGTGAAATACTGCGTTTGGTTGCAAACAATGAAATTCAGAATCAAAAGAACAAGAAAGACTAAATATATTTTATAGTCTTTTTAGTGAGGAAAATAAGAACAAGTAAAAGGTTCGTATTTAAGAAGTTGAATGTCTATGGTAGTGGCAAGTAAAGTTCGTGGAGTTAACTTGACTTATGGAAGGGGAAAGGACGAGAGTTCATTAGCAGCAGCGGTCACATGCTTCGTTTCGTCGCCGGGCTAGTGTGTCAGGAGTGAGCGACGGGACCCTTCTACCTCCGCCGTTGAATGGGACGCCTTTTGACTTTCCCGTGTTGAACTTATACACGCCTATCGGCTCCAAATGGCAATTTTTTGAATACGCGGGAGATGGTTCGATTGGTTGATTTAATTCTTTTCTTTTTTTTTGAGTTTATCCCAAATGGAAGTATCTGCATCGAGCCTATGCGTAGACATGCAGTTTTCATTTCGAGTCAGGGACTCGTGATGGTAACTTCCGTTTATCGAAGCAGGGCAAGATCTCATCTTGTTACAGCTCCCCCAGATCTTACCCTGATTTTATGTTTTGTTAGTAATGTTGTTGGTGTGTGCGAGTGAATGTTTTTTTTATTTTGTTTTATAGCCCATTACGAAGTCTTGGAAGCGTGCTGGGAGTTGCCCATGTGTTTTCCATTTTGCTGTGTTTTGGCTATTATTGCCAGAACTGCAGTCATCTGTGGTATGATGCTCCCCTGACAAAAGTGTAGGAGGCCGTGTCACGGTTTCGCCATTTTTGTTTTTGACTTGGAGCACCATATCGTTAGTTCTGGTGACTTCGAAGTCGCCTATCCAAGGCAGATGTGATGAGTGGGCTATTGTGGACTGAGGTCGGTAGAGTAGCACCTTGTCGCCGACCTGTATCGGGTCCTTGAAAATCTTATGGTTCAGTTTAGCTTCCATTCTGTGGTCAGCCTCATTGTTTGCCAGGGCAACTCTTTGGTGTACCTGTCGGAAAGCAAGGCATTTATCTGCATGTCGTAAGCACCAGGATTGTTGTTGATGATATCTTGACATGGTATCTTTGGTAGTCCGATATGTGGTTGACGACCAGTGATTATGTAATGTGGAGATGCGCCGGTGGCAGTGTTGTCCATGGCATTCATGGAGGAAACTATGGATTCAAGGACGTCCGTCCATTCACATTTTCTATCTTCGCAGATGATGTAGAGGGTGTTTTTGAGGGTCCGGTGTTGCCGTTCGATGTTTCCCGAACTTTGTGGTCGCCATGGACAGTGAAGTTCCCGAGTGATCGATGTTAGGTTGCAGAAATCCTTGTAGACCTCGCCGGTGAAGTGGGTTCCTCGGTCGGAGGACACGATGCGGGGAATCTCCCGATGATGGAGGAAGAACTGGTAGAGCCCGCGGGCTGCGTCAATTGCACGGTCTCTAGCACATGGTATGGCCATGAGATGTCGGCTGAAGATAGTGAGAATGTGCCGTTTACCCTTTGAGAGGGGCATTGAGACAAAATCTATGTAGACAACCTCGAATGGTTTTCCGCCTCGCCTACAATGGCCCATGGGCCAGTTTGGGTGCCTGCCGTAATTCCCCTTACGTTTAGCGCAGGTTTGGCATGAATGGACGTAATCCTTGATGTCGCGATTTTTATATTCCCACCAGTAACTGGATAGGTGTTCCTGCATGTGGCTGATTCCAGAGTGGTTTACACAGTCATGAGCCTGGTGGAGATATTTTGTGCGGAGCTTGTAAGGTACCACCAGCTTGGGTGTGTTCACAGCGTCCCTGATCATTAGTACAGATGTTCCCGGTTCCAAGTAGAATTGATGCATGAGTTTGTTGAAAAGTGCAGTGCAATGATCGTTGGGGTCAAGTATGGTAGTGTCAGGTCTCGGACCTGTCGACTGGAGGGCTCTGATGATTTTTGAAAGTGTATCATCAGAGGCTTGTTCGGCCGCAATACCCATGTGGTCGGCGATCTCTTTAACAGGGATGGTGGGAGTGGTGTGGAAAGCAAAGAATGCATCGGCGACCTGCTTATGCTGTAGGATGTCCCGAGGTGTATGTGTCCCAGGGAGTAGCTGGGAGCTCCTGATTTCATCAAGGCACCAAGATGGGACGTAGATGTTTAGGCTGGAGTCTTGGAGTTTGAAGACCTTTCCTGCGGGTGTGGGGTCCACTGGCAATTTGTCCTTGTTGTGGCCGTATCTCCGACTGAGCATGTCGGCCCAGACGTTCGACTCTCCTTCTACATATTCCAAGATGAACTTGTAACACGAGATTTCCTCTTGCCATCGACATATCTTCGCGTTGTTGAATTCGCGTTGATCCAAGTAGGTAAGGGACCTGTGATCTGTGAGGACGACGAATGGACGGCTACAGAGGAAATAATCGTATTTGGTGATAGCCCATTTTATAGTGTACGCCTCGCGTTCAGTCATCGACCAGTTGCGCTCTGTCAGGCTAAAGGTGTGTGAGGCCACTGCTATGATTTTCTTTCGACCGTGTTCACCCTCTTGCATGAGTATAGCTCCGCATGCGATGTCGCTGGCATCAGTGGTGAGGGTAAAGAGTTTGGAGAAGTCGGGGAATGAGATGATTGGAGGTGAAGCGAGGCGCTTCTTGATTTTTTCGAAAGCCTTGTTGGCCCTTTCCGTCCAGACAAATGTCCGTCCCGGCTTGTTTAGTTCGTTTATGGGGGCCATCAGGTTGGAAAACATGTCTATTCGAATCGTCTCATATAGGCGTGTCTCAAGGAATTGTCGAATCCATACAAGGCATCCGATGAGACTTTGCAATTCTTTTCTTGTTGTCGGGGTTTCATGTCGATGATGGTGCGAGCGATCGGGATCGGCCTTGAACCCGTCGCTATTCACGATGCGGCCAAGAAATTTGGCTTCGGGCGCAAGGAAGACACATTTGTCTGGATTTAGTTTCAATCCGAATTTGTGAAGAGCAATGAATAATTGCTCCAGTGCGGTTATGTATTCCTCGAAGGTTTTGGCATGGATGAGGTTGTCGTCAATATAGGACGATATGTTCGCGCATGAGGCCACTGTGTCCAGAGCATTGGCTATGCACCGAGAAAAGATTTGTCCAGCGGAAGTTAAACTGAAAGCCAGATGGGTGTATTGGAAACAACGTCCTTTCCAGGTAAAGGCCGTTTTGTGGCGGTCAAGTTTATCAATGACGATTTGCCAGTACCCGTTGCGGAGATCGAGGGTTGAAAAGTATTTGTTGCCCTTGCCAATCTTGTTGAATGTGGAATCAATGGTAGGTATCGGATACACACTTCCCATAAAGACTATTTTTTCTGCTTTCTTATTGTTAGGAGACTTAGTAAACTTAAGACAAGTAGAACAGTAGCAATAAATAAGGTGCTTCCTCTATGTTATAAAGCAGGTAAAATTTTATCATGCTTGTAATGAACTGCCTTTATAGGCATAAAGGAAAGGCGCCATTGACTTATCAAATACTTAAACTTACATTCAAACAAGACATTATTTTATTCTTTCTCTATCTCTTCTACTATATTTCTGAATATTTTACTGTAATGCAAATTTTAGATGTAATTTTAAAATGAGTGTGTAAGGCTTATAAACACAAAAAAAGAAATCAGAGAATCAATATCATATTTTGGCCTAGTCTATTGCATTCACTTTCACAACACTGCTTTTGGAAAAAGAATACATCTCTTCTCCCACTACCCTCGGCTACGGGTTAAATAGCACAATAGACTAGGCTCTTTAGCCTTGAATTCCAAACAATGGCAATGGGAAACAACTCCACGATCTTTCCCATGAAGTCATAGGAATTCACAGATATTAAAGAAAAGTAACTGTGGAGAGCTATGATCACTTACATCCTGAAGAAACATGATATTAAAAAAAAACAAATTTCAAATAAATCTAGAATTCTTTTCTATGTATCATGTCCCTTCAGGGTATGTGTGATTATGGTCCTCTACAACTTCTGATCCTTTGTAACATGTAGTAGTGGTCATCTTTTTACTATCCTTCTCACTCTTTGTTTTACCATCCACTTCAGTATGTCCTGTGAGTGTTAAATTTTCTAAACCTTCTTCATTATGTTTTCTAGTAATTTCAACTGTATCTTTCTGATTCTAAATATAAGTTTCCTTTTTAAAAAAATCTATAGAAGTACTTTTCTGTTGCCTCAAGTCTCCTCTTCATCTGTGATGAAATTGTCCATATAGGAGGATTGATATGACATAGCAGTTCAGCACTCTTTTCTTTGTTTCTAATGAAATTTTTCTGTTTCTGAATACTTTGAAAAGCTTATTTTGCTATTCCAATATGCTTCAGATTTCAGTTTCACATTTTCTGTCATCTGTTAAAACATTTTCCAGATATTTTACCTTTTGAACTTATTTGATTTTGACATCTCCAATTTATAGTTCATATCTTTGGTTGTTTTTCTTGCTTACAACCATATATTCTTGTCTTCTTACAATTGATTGTTAGTCCTTTCTTTCTGCTTTCATTTACTAGTTTGTCTTGGAATAGCAGCAGTTCTCTTTATGTATCTGCAATGAGCATGCTATCATCTTTGTATCTTGTGTTGTTAAGATTGTGCTCCCCAATAATAAATCCTGGTAGAATTTCTAGTTTTCTTAGGATTACTTTGATGTAAATGTTGAATAAATCCAAGAAGCAACACTTTCTTTCTATTTTTGTGGACTTACCTAATTAATTTTCTGTCTGTATGCAGGAAGTTTGCTCCAAATATAAGTTCTATAAATTCTTATATTTTCCCAAAATAAACCAAATTTTCAGAGCAATTCAAATATATCTTTGTGTTGTATATTATCAAATGCTGTAACAAAATCTATGAAGCATAGCTATATGTCCTTCTGCATTTGTATTGTAAATTTATATTCTTGAATTAATATCAAATACAATTACAAATATAATGTGTATTCTAGCATTACAAGATTATCATTTCATTAAGAGAATATTATTTGCATATCTGTAGACACTATATAATTCTTATAATATTATAAAAATTGTTTTACTACTTTCAGTATTTAGCATATTGCCTAGAGAAATGCAAAGATACATTGTTGTATAAAAAAACATTTAATTAATTAGAAACAAATCATTATGCTTTTTCTTCACACATTTGTTGTCATTTCAGCAACTCCAACACCCAAACCTTCAACAGAAACAGGTAAGTCCATAATTATTCTGTATTCTAAATATGTTTCTCATAATTTTTCAGTTAAATCTTTCAGTTTTAATAGAACTGATTTAATTTAATATGAATGTCTTTTGTTGCAGCCTCTTTGTGTGTGAAGCAGGATGGCATGGCTGATTCTTCTTTGATAAGAAACTGGGACATTGATGTTTCCAGTAATGAAGAACACAAAGCTGATATTCGACCAAGTGCAAAAGGATGGACACCTGAAGCTGGAGATAAGAAAACTACAGTTAGCCTCTTTGTTGGTGATGCTCTTATTTATGGGGCCAACATGAGGCTTCAGAAATCTAAATGTGTTGGAAAATATGATGTCTTTCTTAGTGGAAGTCAAGAAGGAAACATGCAAAGATTTAAGGTAAATTATGATGAAAACAATATTATCTTTTTCAGAAAAGTATTTTAACCATTCAAATAAAACAAAAAAAGACTGAAGGCTACTCAAAGAACAAACATATTACTTATAAGATTGTAGAAGATTTTTATAAAAAAAAGTGGAGCTTTAAATAAGTTTTGTTAAAAAAAGATATTCAAGAATATAAGCTGGAGTGCCAAAGAATTAGAAAAAGCAGAACTGATTGGTTTTATCCCCCCCCCCCAGTTGAAGAAATGGACTCAGCCAGAATATAGATGTGTGACATAATAGGTAAATAGAGGTTGCAGATGTGAAAATCATGAGATGCAAACAAGATTTAATACCATTTAACCAGAGAATGATTGTTGAACTTGTATTGAGTCCTGATAAATATAAAATAAAATATATAAACAAAAATATAAAGAATTCAAATTAAAATAAGGCATTTGCACTTTCTTTTAAAACCCTTATGTCTTTCTTTCTCTTTCTCTCTCTAAACTTCTCTTTCTGTACTTCTCTCAACTTATGAGAAGGCAACCCTCAAATAAAAAGAGGAAGAAGAAAAAAAGACCAAACTCAGCCGTAAGTTTGCAGGAGCAATTCCTACTTATTTGTGACTGAAAAATACCAAAAATCAGGGAGGCTCCATGCATATCAAAAAAATTGACACAAGGAGACTTTTAATATTAGCTGAAACTAATGTTTGTGCCAAATTCTTGAGTCTGGTCAAAAGGATATAACACCTGACACCTCTGGACTAGAGGCAGATGGGACAAAGAGAAAATGGAGCAAAAGAATACTACACTCAGGGCCAATAAAAAAAACAGTAGTTTGACATTGACCTAATTTCTGAGATTATTACTATCCCTATCATAGTCTAACTTCAAACTACCAAAATAGACATTTATTCAGACTGCTACTAATATCCATCCTATTATGAACATTTTGCTATGCCAAATACCAAAGGACTCATTCATTACTCTAAAGAAAATAAATAAAAATATATTATTTATTTTAAACCCCTGAGTCAGTACATTTTATTCCAAAGTTTCTGATAAAATAATTATCCTACTTACCACCTATCTAAACTGGTGACCTTCTACTGTGAACACACTTACCACAAACTAATTACATTGATTCAGCTGTCATAATCTCCCGCCTTCATCAGATGTATGCCAATCCAGGTTACCTACAGGGAATTTTGAACTGAACTCTTTATTTAATCTACTGGACAAGAAAGGACATTACAAAGTTAGAAAAATCAGTGCATATGCTAGGCTATGGGGACATCCTTAGTAGGCCTAGCATAGAAATAAATATGATATGGATGCCACTAATAAAGAAAAAAAGAAAAATGACAGTATGTCTTCAGCAGCTGTAATAAAATAGAAACTTCAGTGATTGCAGTCAAACATTCATTCATGAGGAAAATAGAACTGGCCCCAGGAACACTTAGATTACTCCAAGGTACTCTGTTGGTCCCCCATACTAAACAGATTTAAACTGCATTGGCCATGTATGGGACATGTTATAGACCTCACTGAATTCTTTCTAGCTACACTTAACAAACATAATTCAGTTATAGAGAGCCTAAAAACATGGCTAGATAGATAATGCCATGTAATGAATTCAGCATTTTATACACTCCAAGCCTTTTTTTTGCATAGCCACCATAAATTCAGGCAAAGAGAGAAACTATATATTATTATATAGCAGTCTGTAATTTTTGGTACTTCACTGTTTTTCAATTTCTCATTGAAGAATATACTAGAAATAGATATTGATTTATTTTGTTCTCAGTGCTAGTATTTGTAGTATAATATATTCAACACCATGGACCATCCTGGGTATGACAATAAACTACATCCGCATCCTGGGTATGACGATAAACTTCATCCGCATCCTGGGTATGACGATAAACTACATCTGTGTCCATGGTAAGACAATAAACTACATCCAACAGCAAGGCCTCTGATCAGGAGGCTTTGAGGAGCGTGGAATCACCTCTTAATTGCTGGTGTTCCCAGGTCCACCCTGACCCTTGGTGGTAGCACCTGTTAGGGTCCCAGCTATGGGCAAATAGTTAACCCTGAAACTGAGGTAAAAAGCATTATAAAAGTGTAAAAATAGGTTTTAATACCAGCAATACATTTTTGAAAAAATAATATTACCAGCTATATGTTTTTGAAAAAATGATATTACCAGTTATACATTTTTGAGGAAAAATATATTAACAGAAATAGATTTTTGATAAAACAAAAATATTACCAGGAAAAAAAGTTGTAAGCATTAAATGATCCATTGAGGTTGATATGCCGTAAAACAAAACAAAACAATCAACACCATGGAATTTATAGTAATATATTTTGTTTATTTCTGCTTCAGAACAATGGAGCAAATGACATTGTAATTATCCCATTTGGTACAACAGCAGATGCAGTGAAAATCCACTTTACACCAGAGAGTCCAAATTGTCAAATGCAGGTTACAATATCCATTATTGGATGTTTTGAATCAGCTTGTAAGTACTTTCATTGTTCTCTCTATATTGCCTAGACAGAATACTCACATATTTGTTGAAAACAACTAATACAATATATTTCTTTTATTCATGAAATATAAATCTGTTGACAAATCACAATTAATTTATCATTTATTTATACATTGTTTACAGTGCAATAATGATAAGTTAAACTGTTTTTGTCAAATGCTTTTACTTTCTATATTAAGTTTTTACTTGAAATATCTTTTCAACATTTTTGTAGCTACAACACCCACTGCTACACGTAAGTAAATTATTAAATGTATAAGATTTTAAAAAATAAATCATTAAAATAAACCAAATTCATGAAAGAATATTTTAGTCTTTATATTTTTGCTAAATTTATTAAGATGATTAAAGATGACATTTATATTAGGTTGTTCAGAAAATAATGTGTGGTTTTAGAATAAAGCTTTTAATTGCATTCTAATATTATAATAGTTGCATAAAAATATATTACTCATTTCTAATGATTAAAGTGTCCTCTTTATTAATTTTATATGAATCTCTTTGAGAATTTAATTTATATAAATTATATATCTCTCATCTTGAATGTGAAAAATGAAGAGATGTATTTGCTTTTTTGCATGACTTCAAGCTTGGTCATAATGCTTCTTAAACTACTGCCAGCATTAATAGAGCATGGGATGTAGGATCCCCTTCTGATTGGACAGTACAGAAGTTCTGCAGAGGGGATACAAGTCTTGAAGATCCATGTGGTAGAGGATATCCATCTGTAATTGACAATCGACATTTGAAAATACTAGTCCAATAAAATCCACATCAAAATGTCAGGGAAATGTATTTCAATAATGTCAGACCATCTCAAGAAAATTGACATGGTAAAAATTCAATAAATGGGTTCCACATGGACTCAGTGAAAGTCAGAGAGTTTGTCATTTTGAAGTGTGTTCGATGCAGCATCTATGAAATTAGAATGATCAATTTCTTGATAAAATAGTGACTTGTATTGAGAAAGTAATCCTTTATGACAATCATAAATGATTGGTTCAATGGATTGCTCATGACAAAGGACACAAACAATTTCCAAAGCTGAAATTGCACCAAAATGGTGACTGGTGGTCTATTATTGGCATTATCTATTACAGCTTTCTGGAATCTAACAAGAGCATCACTGACGAAGTTTACTGCCACTAATTTGATGAAATGCACATTCAGTTAAGCAAAATACAACAGTTAATTAACAAGGCTCAATTCTGCTTCATGACAATGCCCAGCCACATGTTATCATGATGACACTGCAGAAGCTAACTTGGGATAATAGACTTTGCCACATCCACAATATTCCCCAGATCCCTCACACACTGAAAATCACTTTTTCAAGCATCTTTTAAACCAAAAGACATTCTGTTGCAAAGAAGATGAAGAAACTGCATTCAAAGATTCTTTGGCTTCCAATCTTTAGAATTTTATTGTAAAGACATAAATAACCTTGTAACTTGATGGCAGGTATTATAATATTCATAGGTGTCTAATAGAGGAGATGAGGTAGGGAGATGTTTATTTTTTGAGAAAATTTTTTTGACTTCACTAAATTTATAAAAATCTCCCATTCATTAATTCTTCACTTTTTGACTCTAAATTATTTAGCAACCCCAACTTTTATTAAAACCCTCCCTTTATTATTTTGCTGGAGGGGGGAAAGTGCAGCATGATGCTCAAAAATGATTTTTAGATTTTGGCCACATCACTTTATCTTTCTCTCTCTCAAACTATGTATCCCACAACACTTCCTAACTTTTGTTGCTGTAACTAATACTTGTTCCTTTGCAGCTTCTTTTTTGTTTTTTTGGTACTTGTTCAGCCATCCATTTACTCAAAGTTATCTAATAGGTTACCCAATGCTTTCCTTTGTTTCTCTTGATTTGAGTATTCCTTGTGAGTATTTTTTCTAAGCATTCTGTGGTGAAAAAGGAAGTCATTTATCATGAAAAAAAGCATGTGTGTTTTATATGATATGCCAAAGACAATATAACCAAAATAAGTCAGTGACACCTGTTGCTTTAAATGTCTCAGATATACTTTGCCCTGTCCAAATGTTGACCAATGAAAAGAAATTATTCTGTTGATAAAAGCAGTTGGCATTCTGGAAACGGTAAGCAGTGCATTCATGATGAAAAGCTTTTTGGTGTGTATGTAACTGCTGGATGGTGCAGTGGATTTCTAGCTATTTACATGTATTGAGATTTTTTTTGACATTGGACCTACAATTTATGATTTCAACATTTCTTTCTGCTCCTTGGATTTTCAAGTTTGGACTTGGATTTGTTTCATTTTTGTTTTTATGGTACTTGTTCAGCTATCCATTTACTTTGAGTATGCCCTGTCAATATTAAATTTCCTAAGCATTCTTTCCACATTATATGTCTCTAAAATTTTAGCTGTCTCTTTCTGATTGTTTGCAACAGTTTCTTTTTTGTTGCTATTCTCCTTAAGACTTTTTTTTGCATTCATTTAAACAGAGAAAATGTATCTTCAAAAAAATAATTACTACAGAGTGTGTATTAAACAAGTTCAGAAATTTTTGTGAATATTTTACTTGTTTTTCCTTAACATTTTTAAGATTCAAAAAAAAGGTGCATACAAATACTTCACTTTCATGATTCTGGTGTTAAATACCATTCTTTGTAGCTGTGTGCCTATAAGTCTTCAAGTCTGCCCACATTTGTTCACTTTTAAACTTTGAGTTTGGCCATTCTTAAAATACAAGGATATTAACCTTTTATCTAATATGCATCATCCAAATCTCACATGAATTGATCATTCACTATAATATTGATGCCAGCATGGCAGTGGTCACAGGAACTGAGCAATTTTTTAGCCCATATTTACATGTATGGGCTGCCCACATAGAAAAGACCTTGTTTCATCTCCTACCTTAGTAGAGAAATCATGTAAATAAAATCAATTGGTCATTCAACAACTGAAAATGTTTACATGTGTACAAGTTATATACCTTTAAGCATTTTTCTTGAAATATCATTTTTTGCAGTGTTTTTTTTACTGCCAGATATTACTGTTTTTGCTATATATCATTAATTTTATGTTCCTGTCAATTTCTCTCTCATTAGAATATGCTTCTGTCTTCAGTATCTTGTCTGCAATTTCTTTTGCTATATAACCATGTTCCCAAGAGACAGACTTCATGATATTTACTGATACTACAAGGAATAATATCACCAGAAAATATGCCTGTGTTAATGTTTGTTGGTAATTTTAATCTCTTTTCTGAATTTCTGTTCTCTTTCACCTTACTACATGCATCATTCATCTTACTTCCTACTATTTTTTCTCTCTTTCTTTGTTTTAAGCTTAATATTTGCCACAGTGTGTGTGTCTGTGTGTGTGTGTGTGTGTGTGTGTGTGTGTGTGTGTGTGTGTGTGTGTGTGTGTGTGTGTGTGCGGTAACGTCTGCATAATTTACTTGCACATTAAGTTATTGTTAATTCTCAAGGCCCGTGCATTTAATAGAAGTTTTTCTAGCATGGTTTTTCTGAGCAATGGAGTTTGTCCACTTTCCAAAAAAGTGGATATTGGTAATTATATTAATTTAAAACTTTATAGCTATTTCAAACTTCCTGTCCATAACTCTCCCTCTGATTCATAATGCTTCTACTTTGTAAGCTTGCATTTTTTTTTCTCTCCTGAATAGATAACTTTCCCATTGCATTCCCCTTGCAACCATCTACTATAATAATTCAAAATGGGGATAGGGGATGCACATACATCCCCGAGCAACCCTTGTTACCCTCCCCTTCTCCCAAAGTGTCTTTTAATCCTCAAGTATATGATCAATCTTGTCTCAGTGCCTTCAGGTCTCAGACCAGTACAATGTTTCTGACCTGAGAAAGAGTCAACAGAACTCCTCCTTGACTTCTGGGCAGACATGACATGTCCACTCGGATCATCATACATGTAACTTCTTTCTTTGGTTGATTTGATTGTCATTTTATTAAGGATACTGGAGGTAGAAGTATTCTGAGTTTTAGTGTTATCCAAATCTTCAAGGAATCCAAATCAAAGGAGGCTATCCTATCAGCAGGTGTAAAATATCGGGGATATTGTACTGCCATTTTTGGGAATGGTTTTTGGATCATGCAGTAGTCTATGGTGAGGCCTGTCGATGCCATGATGAAGAGTACTGATATGGCTGTATCTCTGGACGATTCTCTCCAAATTACTTATGTATGCAACTCCTGTGTGTATATCTCTCTGCCTACTAGTCTTCAACCAACCAATGCACACATGAAAGCAATCGAGATGCAAATGAACAAAACTAGCAAACCCAACCTAAAAAAAAACCAAAGCAGACCCACATATACCATCTCCTACACCAACAGGAAGGGTCTATGTTCCAACTTTCCAGTAGTGGAACACCATCTTCTTCAGTTCAAACAAGATCTCCTGTTACTTTCTGAAACTGGTATCAACACTTCAAGTGCATTAAGGGGAGCTCACAGTCCCTGGCTACTCACATCTTATAGCTAAACCACTTAAATTGCCATGGACATGGATCCTACATCAAGGATGAGTTTCCCTGTGGCAGGGATGCAAAAAAAAAGGAACCTGACCATGCATATATGTGCTTCTGCATGGCACTTATCCATAGTACAATATTTGTCTTCAACCAAATATCAGAGAAGATTGATAATATCGTCACTCAATTTCCCTCAGACAGCTTTCATATCTACAGTGACTTCAATATCAACCATAAACAATGGCTAGTCCACTCCAACAAAACTGATGTTGAAGGTAGATATTGCAGAGTTTTCTCTATCACCTATGAACTAATCCAGATCATTGGAGAACCTACCTGTGTCCCGGACATGACAGGACATCAAGTGAACCTCTTCAACCGCTCTCTAACCTCCTGCCCTGATAAATGCTTAGCTAAAGTTTTACCTCCACTAGGCACATCAAACCATTTCTTAATCAGTGTCTAGATTAATGCAAAATCTAAGGCATCCCCTGATTTTTTGCTATATGAAGGCTGACTGGGACAGCTTTCAATCCTACATGATGGAAGCTCCTCTCTCAACCTTCTTCAAGCATGCTGCCTCCTAAACTGATGTCCTTGGATCCTTTCTGGAATGGAAAGTTTTAAACCCCCCACAAAAAAAAAATTCCCATAAAAACCAAAACCCTGGTTCACCTCTGAATGCGCTGCAGCCATAACTCACTGAAACCACTACTTTCTTCTTTCATCAGAATGCAAAATATAAAATGGTGTATAGAATCAACTCACAAAGGAAAAGTTATACTACTACAAAAGACATAGTTATAAGGCCTAACACTAACTCAGTTGTTAATTTATAAGACATTTGGTACGGGTTAAATGCTTTTGCAGAATATTGTATGATAATGATAATATTAGCCATTCATCATTCATTGACTGATCAATCAGTGATACTATCGGTTGAAATTTGGTTTAATTTTTGACTTAAAACAATTTTTCAGGAAAATAGATTTCTCAAGATCAGTAACTGTCATTGCTCTTTCCAGTATTGATGAGAGCTTCCTTTTTTGCTATTTGAAGTAATGTGGAACATCAGCATCTCATCTATGTCATTATTCTCTCTTCAAGTTACATGTAATATCCATTTTAGTTGTTGTTGCTATTAAAAATTTTCAAGTGATATGATTTCTGTTATTTGGTAGAGCTCTTTGTTTAAAGATCTGTTAGAGCTGCTCAGCAACCTTGACATATTTAGGAAAGACATTAGAAACCTCTACTGGCAGCAACCTGCCTGCATAAAGATAAAAAAAAGATTTCAGCAGATATACAAAAATAGAAAGGGGTGTAAGGCAAGGATGTGTCTTCTCACTGGACTTGTTCAACCTATATAGCTACAAGAAGACAGAATGTATGGTTGTCAGCAAAAAGATGAGCCTGAAATGCAATTTACAGGTAGGGGACAGTATAATCAAGCAAGTGCAGAAATTTAAATATCTGGGTAGTGTTCTGACAGAGGATGGAAAGTGCAACACAGAGATCCAAAGACATTTTGGGATGGCCAAAAATGCATTCCAAAACCTAGACAGAGTATTACGAGATAGGAGGGTTTCATTGGCAACAAAGAAAAGAGTACTGAACTGCTACGTGTTATCTGTCCCCCATTATGGCAGCAAATGTTGGACTGTCCTCAAGATGAAGGAGCAACTCAAGGTGAAAGAGGTGTGCTAAGGATACCATGGACCGAACATGTGAGCAACAATGAGTTTTTCAAGAGAATGCACACAAAGAGGAAACTTATACTTAACATCAGGATGAGGCAGCTGAAGTTTCTGGGATATGTAATGAGAAAAGAGGGCTTGGAAAATCTAATACTCACAGGGCGGATAGAGGGACAAGGGAAAGCAACATGTGACATATTTAGTGGGCTTAAGCAAGTGTATGGTAGAACAGGGTTTGGGAGAAATAACAAAAAGACAAAACTTATTAAGAGCTATAAGAGACAGGAAGATGTGGAGAGCCATGATTGCCTATGTCCTGAAGGAGATAAAAGAAGAAGTGCTAATTCATTGGGTTCAAAGAAAGATGGTCCTTGATGAGAACTACACGGTTCATTCACTGAAAGCTATTTTTAACCCTCGATCTGAAAAAGCAGTTGTATACAACTGACAGTTTAGATGTTTCTGAATAAGTTTGGTGCCATGCATGGCAGCCATATGAAAGTCTCAATCTGCTAAGACCATTTAAGAACAAGACTTGTGTTTTTAGGTTAATATTTTGGTTTCGTAACCACTTCCCATGTTGGACAAATCTACCCTCAGCACAGCCTATTCTATGTTCAATTTTCTTATTTCCTATACTAAATATACTTGATATATGTACTGGTCACACAATCTAATCTCCTCTTCTTTGTTATTATGCTAATGGGGTGCATTATTTTATGCCAATAAGCAAACATAATTTACCATGACAATAGAATAATTCATTGCATTTTATTTTTTTTGTTTTAATGCTAGATATCTTTGTCTATTTTTACTTTTAATGATTTAAAAACCAGATTCTTATATATTAGAGATAATTGTATAGATAAAAATTCTAATTTGCTCATATAAAATAAACAGTACATAAATAATGATGAACAATTATTTTTCATAACTTTGTTTCATCAAAATTACTGTATAAAAATATAGTATTTAATTTTCTTCAGACAGAAAGACAAAAATTAATAAATCAAATGACATTTGTTTTTTATTTCTTTTTCTTTTCTTTATTCCTCTTAGCAACTACGACACCAAAGCCTTCAACAGAAACAGGTAAGTCCATAATTATTCTGCACTGAAAATAATTTTCTCAGAATTTTTAAAAATCTTTCAGTTTTAATAGAATTGATTTAACTTAATATGAATGTCTTTCATTTTAGCATCTTTGTGTGTGAAACAGGATGGCCTAGCTGATTCTTCTTTGATTAGAAACTGGGATATTAAAGTGTCTAGTAATGAAGAAAATAAGGCTGATATTCGACCAGGTGCAAAAGGATGGACACCTGAAGCTAGTGATAAGAAAACTACTGTCAGCCTCTTTGTTGGTGATGCTCTTATTTATGGAGCCAATATGAGGCTGCAAATGGCCAAGTGTGTAAGAAAATACGATGTCATTCTCCGTGAAGGTGACCAGGGCAATGTCCAAAGATTTAAAGTAAGTTAAAATAATATTTTTATCAATTATTGTGTTTTATATCATAAAACACAGTATTTGTGGAATTTTTATTGCACAATAACAGCATTAATCTCTTATATGTTAATATTTTCCTTTCAGAACAATGGGCCAAGTGATATTGTTATAATCCCATTTGGTTCAACAGCAAATACAGTTAAAATCCACTTTACTGCAGAAAAGTCTAATTGTAAAGTGCAGGTGACTGTATCAATAATTGGGTGCTTCCAATCAGCATGTAAGTACATATATTTTTTATTTCATGTTCTTTTTTTCTTTTTTTTTTTAAGTTGATTTTCTTTCCACCTGGGAAAGAAGTGTATCTTTGGTAATTATAACTTTACACAAGTTTACAGATTAGTTGAGATAGTATTGAGTTAGTTCTTTTCATATACTTATTGATTTTTTCTTTTTAAATTTTTTTTGAAAATTGATTTTGCCTCTGTCTTTATTTTTTCATATATAATTATTTTTTTATCTTTATAGCCACAACAGCTATAACAGGTATGTATATTAATGAATGTTTTTTAATTTAGATTTACTTTTATTTTGTCCATTTTTTATTATTTGAGGGCTACTGAAAAATTCTCAGCTTGATTCACATTCTAAAACCTGACCAATCATCAGAATTTATTTTAGAACCCCCCCTCCTTGATCAGCTTTCAAATGCACAAAGATCAATATAGTTTACTATTTATTTGCCACTATATGTTCTCTGTGTAAGTTGACACAGTGCAAATTTTATTCACTTTTAAAGGTAAATTATTTCATAACAATAGTAATGTAATATATTAATATCTATTTGGTTTTAAAAAGTAAAAGGAAGAATCTACTTTTTAAGAATAATTTTTTACATTATTAAATTTTCATTTGATGCAAAATCTCTGAAATTTTTATTCATATAGCTACAGACACATGGAAATTATTATTTCAGAGAATATTCTGTGAATTTAAAAAAAAATAGGATTATTATATGAAATATTCAACTGAAAATATAATGTAAATGTTTCTTTCTTCCAGCATCTTGGTGTGTGAAACAGGATGGTTTAGCAGATTCTTCTTTGATAAGGAACTGGGATATTAAAGTATCCAGTAATGAAGAACATAAGGTTGATATACGACCAGGTGCTAAGGGATGGACACCTGAAGCTGGTGATAAGAAAAATACTGTCAGTCTCTTTGTTGTTGATGCTCTCATGTATGGCGCCTCTGTAAAGCTGCAAAAAAGTCAATGTGTTAGAAATTATGATGTTATTCTTAGTGGAATTGAAGGAGATTTGGAAAGATTCAAGGTAGGTCATATTTTTTTTAATCATTTCACTCACAAGTATGGCAATAAAGCCACTAAAACACAAGTGGGCATTACTGAGTGTTGGAGAATATTAGAAAAAAACACTATTAAGGAGAGAGAACAATAAAGGAACAAGAATTAGGAAGACAGAAGATAACAATTGGCATTGCATTTAAATTTTGGAAAGCAAGACACTAGAAGAGAGTTTCTCAAGCAAAAAGTGCAATAAAAGAAACTGTTAGCATAGAACTTATGGTTACATCTAGCTATTTCAACTGTAAAATGATGAGAACTTGCTGCCAATCTAGTACTATGTTTAAATTCATAAAGTCCAGGTACCATAGAGGAAAGTGATATTTATTCTGTTAAAATACAGAAATGTGGTACATGGCCGAAGGGGGGGGGATGGTCTTCTTCTGTCTTAACTATAACTTAGCTAGCCACAAATGCTGACGCAATCGCACAAACAATATTCCTTACACCAAAACAACACATTCATACGTACCTTTCTTACTACAATCACCATAATACCTCTTTGTCTCTATGAAAATACTAACTAGTCCCAATATTTACAATTCATTGTCTGTGGGGGAGGAATAAAACAACAATTCTAAAACTAGCCCCAATGAGTATTTACAAATATGAATACAAAACTATTTACAAGAAACTAAAGAAAATAATATTAGTAATAAAACCCCCCACAATCATTAAATGTGGCAGAAACATCAGTTCACTGGCCGAAATCAATGCGGGACTATAATAGTATAAAACATTCATTCATCCCAAGCACTCACACTGACATGCATTCATTCAGACACAACAACAAATATGAAAAAATATTCACACAAAAGAAAGGAACCCTGCATCCACCAGCAAACTGACATCACTGACCACCTAACAAGGGAGGGGATGGGGAATTAAACATGAAAAATAGGGGCAGAAATAAAAGTGGGCCAATGAGCATACATACCCTAGCTAAGTTAACTGAAAAAGGAAACTAAAGAATCAAATTAAACCTAACCTAGACTAGGTTCGGGATGGGTTGCACAAGTTGAACCCAGAAAGAGCAATATCCTGATGCCTAACCGGCATCAATGTGCCACTCAAGGTCAGCCCCTTTCACAAGACATAAACACGCAAGATTCACCCACCTTTTGCTGAATTCTGATGAAGTGAGTCACCGCCTTTCCGTCCTAATCTTGACTTTAAGCAGATGCTTAAAGTACAAGATCAGTTGGGAAGAAGTGAACTACTCGCCTCCATAGAATCCCTTCTGATGTGTTGTCCAAATCATGACTCTCATAACACCTAGCAAGCAGTGGAACACATATTGTTCAGCCTTCATCAGCGGCAGTGCCACATTGCTACAAACGGAAGAGGCCTCAAGGACAAAGAACTTTCCCTGCAGCATGTGGACCATGAGGCCTTCAACAAACTTGCACTATGGCACTACCAGCCTGCAATGAAAGAAGGCGTGACCCAAGGTCTCGACCTTCTCACCACAGTGTCAACAGTTTGGAGATTTCTCCAAGCCAGCTGAGCAAAGTCTTTTGGCAACCCAGAGGGCCCCACGAATCACCAGCCAGGTGAGTGATGCCTCATTGTTATTGAGGCATTTCAACCTGGGTGCCCAAGGCCATATTGAGCGAGCCTCCTGCTTCGTAAGACTGAGCTCGTCAGATATGGCCCCCCTGACTAACACTTGATATAATGCCCTACAAGACACCAGCTGGATGTTGGAGAGGCCATCTGACACCCGTAAGAGGCGCTTCAGAGAAAAACAACATTCATGATAGAAGGAGCATTCGGCTTGTGGTCAACTCCTTGCATGAGTGCAGACTTCTCAGGGATGGGAAGTTCTTACGGGCATCTTCCTTCCAGAAGGTGCCCTCCTCATCCAGTTCGCAACACATTCGATCTAGAAAGCCAATGCGAAGCATATATTGACAAATCTCAATGCTTGGCATGCCTAGACCACCTTCAGATGGATGAAGGCAACAGATCTCTCGAGTGACTCTGGCAGTCTTGCCTCCCCACAAGAAGGAGAACAAGAGCTCCATTAATGCCAGTAATGTGTCAGATGGAAGTGGAAGCACAGAGAGTTGGTAAAGGAGAATCGAGTAGATGTGCAAACCACATACTTCCGCTCTCCCCTTTAAGGAAAGATTCCTCCAAGACCACAAGTTAATTGCAATATCGGCCTTCCCATGCACCTCCAACCAATTCATATCCAACTGGAGATCAGGACCGAACCAGACACCGAGAATCTTGACCGGCCCATCCGTCCAGAGGAAAGGTCCGGGAAGAGAAACTCCCTTCTATGCACCCAACCGCAAACCCACAGACTTATCGTGGTTGATCTTGGCCCCTGTCACCATCTCATAACCACTGATTTCTTTGCTGACTTTGTTAATCTCGGCCCTGCTTGACACAAGAACCGAAACGTCATCAGCATTGGCAGAATACCTGGCCGATGTGGTAGCACCGGGCAGGGAAATTCCACATAAGACCGGATTCGTCTTTAACTTGCGAAGGAAAGGTTCCAACACAAGAACATAAAGCAAAGGCGAAAGCAGACAACCTTGACAAATGTACCCCATTCACCTCCACCAGTGCACTGGGAGTCGCATACAGAAGTCGGATCCATGTGCGAAAGTGCAGCCTAAAACCAGCCGCTGAAAGAACAGCCTCCAGAAAGCGATGGTCAACCCTATCGAAGGCCTTGAACTGATATTAATTGATCAGCGCAGCTTCACTGTCGACCTTCTTGATGATCAGGCATACCATATGAAGGTTATTTTGAATAGTCCTACCCTTCACAGCACAAGTCTTTTCCGAGCCAATCAGACTAGACAGGACAACCAGCAAATGGTTAGCCAAGATCTTAGCCAAAATCTTTAACTCTGTGTTTAACATAGCTAAAGGGCAAAAGTTATCTAACCCATCCCCACCGTTTTTGTCCTTGCGTAACAACTTGATCACACCCCTGATGAAGCCCCTTTTTCATCCAGTTGCCGAAAATCAGTGCCAGCAAGGGAACAAAAATGGGTGACTGCCTCAAATACACTTCGTACGGAAGACCATCTAGTCCCAGAGATTTGTCCAGGCCAACCTGTTTCAACACTTTCCAGATTTCCGACTCTGTAATGGGACCCTCACACCTAGCCACTTCAGCTGCCTCAAGGCAGGGAAAGTCAGCTAAATAGGCGTCGAACTGAGAAGGGCTCAGACCATGCTCCCTGGTGAAAAGCTCCTGAAAGTAGTCACGAAAAGCCTCACATATGCCCTCGTTTGTTGTCACATTCCGCTTATCCAGCAATGTGACGCATGCGATATGTCGCTGAGATGCATTCCAAGCTTCCTCTGCTTGCAATTCAGCAGCCATATTTGTTGCCTCAGAGGACATTCTTTTTTTAGCCCTAACTACCAGAGCTTGATCCTTCTTGATAAGCAAGGAGGCCAACTCTGCCTTAGCTAAAGCTATGTCCCCACTATCACAGGATTTGACCACCTGATCAATTTTCTGCTCTAAAGCCGTTTGCGCCGCTAATCTATCTAGATTGACTATAATCAGCAGCAAACATTCTGATTTTGGAATTTAAATTATCCCACCAGGCATTTCTCACAACCGCTCATGTCAGTTCCCTCTGTATCATTAGTAGGAGCTGGTCCCGGAAATCTTGCTCACCAAATAGTTTAA